TTTTACCACTTTTATTTGTAACTAACGTTACAGCAGTTTCTTCCTATACGGACATTTTCAAATTTATACAAACTTATTGTGAAAATTTTATAACTAATATTGTGGATAGTGTTGATAATTCTCAAATGACGAATTATAATGGGAAATAATAATGAAGAATAAAGTTACTCCCCAGAAAGATATTTTTATTTTCGAAAATTATAATTTTGTCATAACGATAAAATTATATTTTTTATATAAATCAGATATTTTGTTTGTCAATCAAATACTGAAATATATTATGAGAAATAGCAAAGTATTTTTTCATGAACTTTCATCATGATATAACATTTATGAAAAAAACATACTCTTTTGAATACTTATATTATTCTCATCTTATGAGAAATAGCAGAGTATTTTTTACCGAACTTCCGTCACATGATCTACTTGAGTATGCAGGTACATAAGAGGGACTCCAATAGGCAAAAATGTATCAAGTCTCTCATGTCGTCATTTGTAAAACTGAAGGTCGAAACAAAAAGTTATGTAGCCATTATACAACTATTTTAGAAATCCAGATCAACATTTTTCCTGACATGACTTCATTATTTGAAGTGTTCAGATAACACCGTAATGTATTTAGTCTCTCGAATTATATATTTGATACTATAAAACCTATTCCGTGTGGAATACTGTCTACACAGGTGATGTATACATACCATAATGGGTCTGCGGAACCCTACTTTAGGTGTCATAGATAATGGAGGTAGAATTGCAGAAGTATTTTTTCTTCAACAAGATCTTTCATTTTACTTTATTTAGTATTGACAATTTTAAAGTTACTGAGAAAAAATTAAACGCATTTTTCATCCTAATTTTTCAGTATCAATTGCAATTTTGTGTGCTGTTAAATTATTGAAATACAATTTAATTTTACTGCTCGTCATTCTGAATCCAGAGGGTTATCGCTCAACGCTTAATGTCTATTGAAAACGAATTTCAACTTATGGAAAGAAGTTGAAAAGCATTTTATAGAAACAAGAGTGGTGGCACAAAACACAAAACAAAGAAAAGTCTCTTCGTCAACATAAAAATAGTATGACTGAGAAGAGAAAGCGATGCAATTTTAAGAGAAAATCAGATGTGTGAAGATGAAGTCAGTTTTCAAAAGGAATTACAAAACTGTAAATTCAGGCGGAAGTCCAAGGTTAATTCTAAGACGTTTGAGATGAAATTCAGACGAAGGTATCGGTATCACATAAATATATCTGAATTATGTAAAATATTTATGATAATAATTCGATTAACCGTTATCTAGTATCATTGTTTTCGTGAAATAATTGAAATCGGAAAGAATGTAATCTACTCATTATCGGCATCAACAAAACAGAATAAATAAGCTACTTCAGTTGTTGATACCGATTAATTCCTAAATTATCCATAGAGTAGAAGAGACCACTAGAAATGGCACGTCGCAAGGAATGACCTCGTTACGCCTCAGCTGGCACAAGTTACCACTTTCGAGGATTGTCGCTCGTAGGGGGTGACAGTGGTTAATGAAAAAACAGATTTAAACAGATTAAGTAACGCTGAAGACATTTTATTGATAATCTCAATCCGTTATTCAACTCCATCTAAAACCATGTTATACCCTTCACGCGTTGTTTTATTGGAATTCGATCAGAAAAGAAAGTTTAAATTGATAGATGTAGCTGATACTACGTGATAGAAGATCTGATATATCTAAACACCACTGTAGGTAATAACAGATGGTCGTTAACTGAGTACCTGAATCTGAGTCTGACTCTGAAAATCGGCGAGTATACTAGGTCGAATTGATCATTTAGTAGATTACATCTGCAGTGCTTATACTTATGAATTTCAAAAGATTTCAAATAATTGAGTTTTTAATCCTTGCTTGCATAGTGCAAAATTTTCGTATTGTTCAAATTCGGGAAATTTTGGTTGCATTCCAAGGAATGGTTCGAAAACGTTGAATCATTTCTACCTAGTCTGAAGGACCTTTCATATTCACCATATCGTTTTGAGGAATTTTAGTCACATTGTCCTATATAAGGTTCGTTCCAACCAGCGTCAGAAACCGTTTCTGACAGTCAGGATTCTGCGCAGTAATGTGATTGCGTTCCAACGTGAGTTTCCAACCATTAGTAAACTATCAGTTTTCTGTTCCATCCAAGATTCAAACCTGTTCGAAATCTATCAGAATGGTTTGAGGATTATCTTCTAACCATCAATCTGACGCATGCGTATTCCGTATTACTGTTTCTGTT